GCCTCAGCCCCCGAAGCCCCGCCCCTGGCCTGCGAGCCAATCAGCCTCCAGAGGCAGGGCGCGGGGGAATGACGTAACCCAGAGCGTGTAGCTGTACTGGGCCCCGCCCCTCCCGAGGCACTCTAGCTGGGACTCGGAGCAGAGCTGGCGCGAGTGGGCGGTGTATTCTGAGCCAGTTCTCTCGCACCCTGAACTACGAAGCTGCGCAAGAGCAGTTCGCCCTGGCATTATCAGTTGTGCGCTTGAACCGAGCAGCCTTCAGTGGTCGCGTACTGTCTTCCCTCCAAACCCACCTGTCATATACCTGGATTCTTTTGTCGGGAGGCCGGAAGAGCGGGACTGTAGGAGGTGTATGAAGCTGCTGTGAGCCGGCATCTTCCAGAATAATACATGTTTCATATGTACGCATATGTCTAAGGAGAGAGTGATCTGAGAACGTGTGCCTGTGTGGGAAGGGGTTAACATTCATTCACTCATCCCTCTGATTTTTTGTCCCAAGCGCTGCTGGAGGCTGGAGGTGACGAGGACTAAGTCAAAGGGGGCCTCCTGGAAGTGGATCCCGGATTGTCCAACAGGTTGGAAATTAGCGAGAAAAAAAAAAAAAAAAAAAAAAAAAAAAAAAGGCTAGAGGCTGTCGCATGGGATTACTCAGACAAGAATTCAACAAGGAGGGCCGGGGATTTGGCTCAGTAGTTCCACCTCCTGCCTCGCAAGTGCAAGGGACCCCGTACAAAAAAAAAAAAAAAAAAAAAAAAAAAAATCAACACGGAGGGCCAGCCAGTTGCTGCTATGGCAAAGACAGAAGGTAGTTTGACAGAGGAAACGGGATTTGAGCTGGGTTGCAGTGCCTGCAGGATTTTACTGAACAGCAGTAGAGGGTTGACATTGCTGAGCTATAGGAGCAAGACTTTTCAACCTTGAATGCTCAGTATCAGCCTGTAACTGTCCCATGAGTGTTGGAGCAGTACACGAAAGAGAAATTAAATGAAAAAGAGATTGCCGTCAGGCCTAGAATGCCTAAGGAGTTTAGTGGGTTTTTTCTGTTTCTTTGGTTGGTTTTTTGTTTTTTTGAGACAGTCTCACTTTGTAGTTCAAGCTGGCTTTGAACTCACTGTATAGTACAATATGCCCTCAAACTTGCAGCACTCCTGCCTCAGCCTCCCAAGTGCTAGTATTATTTTTTGGTACCAGGGATCGAACTCAGGGACTTGTGCTTGTGAGGCAGGCACGATTCCACTGAGCTGAATCCCAGACCTGCTAGTTTAGTTTTTGAAAGTAACTGGTAGGTTCCCTGAGATAGCTGCTTGAACACTGAAAAATTTTTCCATGGTACTGAGATTGAACCACCTAAGCTGTTTGTACTGAGTTACATCTGCAGTCCTTTTATTATTTTGAGACAGGTCTTGCTGAGTTTCCCAGATTGGGCAGGCTAAAAAAAAGAAAAAAAATTTTTTTTTTTTGGACAGTCTCACTAGGTAGCCCAAACTGGCCTCAAACTCCCAGTGATCCTCCTGCCTCAGCACCCCATGTATTGGGATTACAGGCATATACCACTATACCTGGCTGGCCTGAATGTTTAAATTGTCTTAATTGCTGCAGGTCTCTGGGTCTGGAGACAGGATTGCTCATTTGTCAGTAGGAATTAAGGTCCACCAATCAGAAGAGAATTAACTTTCTTTAGGGTCTGTGAAATGTTATTGATATTCAGAAGGGTTGTTTTCAGCAGTGCCAGTCTGGGTACTCCATTGGGAATGCTTACACCCCAAAGAAGATTCAGCAGGCTGAACATCTTTCTGGAAAGGACCAAGCAAGCTGGTATAGGCTTTTGTTTTCCATTAATACCAGCTACACTGTAGTAATAAAACAGGTTTCAATCTATCAAAACCTTTTTTAGGCCAGGTGCAATGGCCATAACTATAATCCCAGCTACTCAAGTCTGAAGCAAGAGGATCTCTGAGTTTGAGATCAGCTAGGAGAAACAAAACAAAATGACTCAAACCAATTTCAGTCTTGATTTAGCAGTCTCAAAATGATTCTAGATTTTTATTTATTTATGAGACAGGGTCTGGCTGTGTAATTTAGGCTGACTTTGAACTTTCGGTGATCCTCCTGCCTCAGCTTCCAGAGTACTGATTACATGTGTTTGTCACCATGCATGGCGCTAAAGTCCTTTTTAAAAACACCTTCTCGGAGGAAGTTTACTGTTATTACTATATCTGTACCAGGTCCTGGAGGGGAAATCAAAAGGCTTGTGCTTAACTGTTTCAGTAACACATATGGGTAGATTCTATCCTCAGAGGTGTCAGATGATGAGAAAAAAAAAACACAAAAAACAACAACAAAAAAAAACCCAAAGTGAAATGATGGAATTTGTGATGATTAAGGAAGAGGTCACTATTGTGATGGTGTTCAGTTCTTTAAAGCAAGTGTCCAGTATCTAGGATCCTAACAGGCAGAAGAGTTGGTAAAAACAGTGAAGCAGAAGCTTTCCTGAAACACTGTCTATTCTGGCTACAGATGGACCAGTGAGGTGAATAGTAGAGATCAAAGGGAAAGGAGTGGTGTCTAGATCCTATATGGCCCCATTGGTAATTTTAGGAACTTTGGCTTTTAGAAGCAATTGAAAAGTCAAGCAGAAAGAAAAGTCTGACTTACAGACTAGTAAATTCACTCTGGGTTGAGTGAAAATTAGACTGCAGCGAAGCAATAAGGGCAGAAAGATAAATTTGGGGGTTATTGCAATCATCAAGATTATAGAAGAGATAGTACAGGAAGGAATATACGGCCAGATTTTCTTTTGGTGAACTAAATGTGGGCTGTAAGATATAGGAAACTGGGCCTCATGGCTCACACTTGTAATCCTATCTCTGGGAAGCTGAGACAGGAGGATCACCGAGTTTGAGGCTACCTTAGACTACACAGTGAGTTCAAGGCTAACCTGAACTACATAGCAAGACTCTAACAAAAAACAAAAGACAGGAACCCAGCAAGGACCTTTTCTGCAGCCATAGTGGACATGCAGCCTTCAAGCACATCTGGTTCTTAGATTTTGCCCTCTTCTCTTCCATTTTCCCCCTTCATAGTGTGTATCATGGGTACCTATCACAATGGAGAGGGTCCTTGACAAAAGCTGTGTTCATTGGTACACACCCCAGTGTCTGCACATAGCAGACTTCTCATGTGAACAGACGGATAACTCAATTGAACCATATGGCAAATAGATTTTTATTTTGGGGGGTACCAGGGATTGAACTCAGGTCCTTGTGCTTGCAAGGCAGGCCACCAAACCACTAGCTAAATCCCCAGCCCAACAAATAGAATATTTTAACAGAAAAGGAATTTTTTTCTTTATAAAGTGGAAATTCTTCCACCAATCTCAAGTTTATTTTGCTGAATATACAATCATACCAGAATAACTGTTTTTCAAATAAAATGGTTTAATTCCAGATGATAGAGAATTCAGAGTAGAACAAAGATCAATGAGCAGACTATGTCAGAATTATAGACTGGGTTTACTTTAAATTCGCAGCTGAGGTAGGAAATGCTGAATGAGAACGAGAGACAATGAACCATGGTATAATTTATTTTTCTTAGCAAAATTTTATTGTTAAATGTACAACACACTCCAAGAACACACTTCATTGTAGTTCTAGTTGTCAAAAGATGTTATGACAGGGTATCCAGATATCTGAATAGGAATAAAATCACGGGTCTCCATCATCTTAGGCACAAGGAACAAATTATTTTTTGCCAGATTTCTTAATTCCACCTGTGGCTGCAAAAGGGGGAAAAAAATCACTTACCGATTAATACAGTTATGGTAAAAACCCACGAGTTTGATGTGGGTCCTAGTAAGGCTCGGTTCTTGTACTGTGCATTCACTTTGACATAGGCATGATCAGTAGTTTCCCAATACCTATTCTAGGTGAAGGCAGAATGAGGTTGAGGAAGGGGAATAAGCAATGGCTGTATGTTGTTCCACACCTACACTGTTGTGTATGTCATTCACTGTGTCACAGCAACCCACTTCATAGACAACAAGTCTTCATGTTTGGTGTTGTTCAGGGTTAGAACCTGGTATGTGATAAACCAGGATTCCAATGTGGATAGCCTGACTACTAGTACTACCATACTGCCATATTACATTATGCTTATGGTCTTATGTTTTTGTTTACTCACTACATTTACATTTTTTGTGTGGATGCACTATGGATTGAAGCCAGGGCCTTTGCCCTGAACTATATACTCAGCCCTTTTAAATTATTATTATTGAGCCGGGTGTGGTGACGCATGCCTGTGATCCCAGCACACAGGAGGCTGAGGCAGGAGGTTCACTGTGAATTTGAGACCAGCCTGGGCTATACTGTGAGTTCCAGGGCATTCTCAAGTACACAGTGAGACACTGTCTCAAAAGCTAACAAACAAACAAAAATTAAGACAGGGTTGGGCTGGGGATTTGGCTCAGTGGTTCTGCTGCCTGCCTCACGAGCCCAACATCCCAAGTTCGATCCCTGGTACCCACCCCACCTCTGCCCCCAAGAGAAGGGTTTTGCTAACTGGCACAGGCTTGAATTTGTAATTCTTGTGCCTTGATTTGTCAAGTGCTACAATTACAGGCATGTGCCACCACAACTGGCTTACTCAATGCCTGTATGTTGCTGGGTGTGGTGTCATGCATGTATAACCCCAGCACTTGGGAGGCTGAGGTAGGAGGATCACAGCGAGTTCAAGGCCAGCCTGAAGTACATATCCCTCTGTGTCAAAAAATACAACAAAGGCCTGTATGTTACTCAATTATAAATGACATTTGGCACCCAGTAGGTAATTAGTAAGTAGAATGCCTAATACAGGAATGAAGAATAAAAGGGCTGTAAAAAAATAAACCTTAAAAAAACAAAACACAAGCTGGTTGATTATGCCATATGTGAAATGCTTACAACCAGAAGTGTTTTGGATTTTGGAACATTTGCATATGCAAAATAAGATATGCTGGGGTACTGGACCCAAGTTTAAACATGAAATTTATTTGTTTCCCATACCCCCACACACAGCCTGAAGATGACTTTATGTATTTTTAGTCCATGTGAAATAAAACAGATACCATCGTAAAACAAGATAAGGAATCTAAGACCTTAACCCATCAACCCTTACCACACTAAAGACAGAGAACAACTCTTTCTCCCCTCCTTTACTAACGATGTGTGAAATACTCTAGCATTCCTTATTCTTAATCATCATAAGCACCACATGTGTTAAAATCTTCACAGCAGTGATGAGCCAGGATCTCTCAAGGGTAAGAACCACTGACCTGTATCTTTTTCCTCTTTCTGGTACTAGGGATTGAACCTAGGCCCTTCACACTGTGCTACATCCTCAGCCCTTTTTATTTTTTTGAGACAGGGTCTTGCTAAGTTGCTAAATTGTCTAGGGCTCAAATTTGCAATGGTCCTGCCTTGGCCTCCAAGAGTACTGGAATTAACTCATGACCCACTGGCAAGTTATTAGTCCCTACCCCACCCCAACACCACACAAGTTAATCTATTTTTTTGTTTAGGAGCTAATCTGATTATCAGACCTGTGCCTCCTTTAGTTCCTCAAGCTAAATCCTCTTTTCTATTTCTTCCTGCTTTCCAATTCTAACAAATCTGCTTGTCTGTGTCTCTCCCTCATGCATCCTGCAGCACCCCGCATGATAAAAGTCAATGAACCTATCCTCAATAAGGGGTGGACAACTTGGGATCCCCATGTCCTCCTGTCTTCCTTGGGGAACTCCTCTAATACCATTCATTAACATGTCAATTTTATGATTTTCATCCAAATTGAGTAAAAGAACCCCAGGCTGATTTGTAACACATCTGCATTTAAAAACATTTTGGATATAGGAGCACTTTGGATTTTGAGATTAAGGATGCTTAATTTGTACAGGATTTTATGAAGGACTGACTTTCTCCCTATACATGATTACAGGTTAAGGAAAGATAAAAGATAATAGATATCAATCTCAACAGGAAGAATCCTAGCACTATGTGGGCAAATAATGGACTGAATCCACTGGGATAGGCGTTTTGGGAAGCCGTGGATGCCATTTCCATTTTCTTTCCTTTCATCACACCTGATGTAGCTCAAAATGCTCAAACACGGGATAAATGACTGTAAAGGGGACTCGGGATTTAGCTCAGCGGCACCAAGCCTGCCTGGCAACCACAAGGTCCTGAGTTCACTTTCCAGTATGGGGGGAATAAAAAACTAAAGGAAATAATCACTAGCTTGACAAATGTAAATGTTTAAAAATGTACAAATATAAAAACGGACAGGTGCAAATGTTTAAAAAGCACATTAAGCTGAGTATGGTGGCACTCAGGAGGCTAAGATGGGAGGATCGCTGAGAGTTCAAGGACAGCCTGGACTATACCGAGACCTGTCTCAAAAAAAAAAAAAAAAAAAAAAAAAAAATTGGGCCGGGAATTTAGCTCAGCGGTTTGGTGGCCTGCCTCGCAAGCGCAAGGACCCAAGTTCGATTCCCGGTACCAAAAAAAAATAAAAAATAAAAAATAAAAAATACGTTATATATTGTCACTGCTGGGCTTGAATCTTTTGAGACATATGCAATTCATTACTCTCACATAAAGGAAGAAGCAAAATGGTAGGTTTGGTTAGAAAATCAAGTGGAGCAATAGCAAGCCAACTAGATGCACCCAGAAGTGACTCTGGATGCATTATCACTTATTACAGATAACACTAGCAGTAAGCAAAAATTCTAAGTAGTGTTATAAGCTAAAAAGACAGTGACTTACGAACTTGGGACAAGAAATTGTGGAGAATACTCAGAAACCTCTCTGTCAGAATCTGTGGGGCAAATTTCTGCAACTTCCGTACAGAATGTAAGCCCAAGGCTGCCTGGGCGGAGAGGCCTCCAGGTACCTATACCCCAGTTCCCCGAAGAGGCTGCAACGGATCCGCGAGGCCTCGGTCCTGCTCCGCTCACTTACCCAGGGGACCCCTTCCCGCGGCCTTCGTTTTTAGCTCCTCGAGTTTCTTCTGCTCCTCTTTTTGCTTCTGTTTGAACGCTCTATCTTCCTGGGGGTGGGGGGAGAGAGGACGACAGAGTCACAACAGGCGGGTCTCCTCCCACCCCTCGGCTTCCCTCTGCGCGGGGGAGCCCGAGCTCACCTCGTCCATCTCCTTGGCCTGTTTCTTGGGCTGTTTCAAGGGCTTCTTCTTGCCACCTATGAGCGACATGTGCGCGCTCAGCTTCGCCGCCACCGCCCGCCCTCCTTCCCTCGTCCCCCGCCCCATACCCCACACCCCACACGCTTACCTTCGCGGCCGGACATGGTGCTAGCACACCCTCTGGAACCCGGTTCAAAAGCTGCAAGTCGGCCGCCGGCGCGCCCCCTACACTTATATGGCGACACCGACCAGTAGATTGGTTGCCGAGCCGGAAGCTGCTCTCCAGCTACAGGATGTGGCTCTTCGGGGGCGGGCACTAACGGTTCAGAGGTAAATTGATTGGCAGCCGGTCCGCCAGGTTAGGCTTCTGCTCTGTAGGCTGGGCGGCCCTGTTGGAAGGGAGAGTCGTTCCTTCCGGGGCAATCTGGCACCGCGGAGGGGACCACGATAGGTCGCTCACGGGAAGGAAGAACACTGTGAATAGAGGGGAGGGCATGCGCAAAGGTGCGTTCCTGGGACCCGACAGCACACGGGCTAGAGACAGCCGTGGGCGGGGCCTGCAATCAGGGTCTCTTAGATCTCTGGAAGCCTGGTGGGATTTTGGGTTTCAGAAAATAGCAGACTGACTGAGAGTTCTGTGTATTTATCCTATACATTTTTGTTGAGCAAATATTCTATGTAGATAAAGCTGTGAACAAAACTTCCAGTTCTGGCAGAGGTGATATTGTAGGAAGTGAGACTATACAAACTATATAGCAAATGAAGCAGGGAAAATGAGGGGTGGTGCGGCGATTTTGTCTTTCTTCTTTTCTTTCCAAACTGGGGATTGAATCCAGTCCCTTTGCCCTGTGCTACATCCCAGCTCCCACCCCTTTTTTAAAGACAAGGTCTCACTACATAGTTCAGGCTGGCCTTGAACTCACTGTAGAGCCCAGGATGACCTCAAACTAGAAGAGGTCTTCCTGTTTAAACCTCCCGAGTGCTGGCCTGGCTTTTTTTTGGGGGGGGGGCGGATACAGGAACTTGGTAAGAATCTTAAACTGTCTCAGCCTTTCAGAGTGCTAGGATTACAGGTGTGTGAGTCACAATGCTGGGCTGGGATGGTGATTTCTGATGGTATGTTCAGGAAAGATCTCAGGAGCTGGCATTTGAACACTTTAAAAAGAAGGCTGGGATGGGGGGTGAGGAGCCAGGGAGCAAGCAGTGCAGTGAATAGCTGATGCCAAGGCCCTGAAGTGGCAATAGCCTACAGCGCTTGTGGCAAATCTATGGCACTAGTGCCTCAGCCAGCTGGTTGTTATCATTGGGAGCTCTAAAAGGTTCACCATCACTGGCCTAAAATGCTCTAGCACCAAGATGGTCCGAGTGACTGGTCTCAAGTGAGGAAAGGGAGACTAATGGGGCAGGAGGTCAGAGAGGAATGAAAGCTAGGAGGTGGATCCCCTTTAGCTCATGGAAAAGACTTTGGCTTTTCCTTCAAAGAAATGGGGAACTGTTGCAGGATTTGAGTGGAGAGAGATGTGATTTCACCTGTGTTTTGTTTTTGTTGTTTTGGGGCTGGGGATCAAACTTGGGACCTTGTGCGTGCAAGGCAGGTGGCAGAACCATTGAGCTAAATCCCTGGTGTGTTTTGAAAGGACCACTAGTTGCTCTGTTGATGGGGAGACCTGTTAGACTTGGGATGCAGGTAAGGAATTTTGGTCATTGGGACCACTTGGAAGCAGACAGAGATAGGAAGGAAGAGGAATCCTGCCTGGATTGAATGTGACTAGAAGAATGGTGAGAAGTTAGGAATGATGTGAGGTTTTTTGCCTGAGAATTTGGTCTTGGGGTTGCCATCAACCAAGATGGAGAAGGCTGGGGAAGAAGCAGGTTTGTGAGGGAAAGGTGAGATTCCAATAGATTTTCAAGCAGAGATATAGGTTGAGCAGTTCAGTAACTGAGCCTGGAATCCTGGAATGTCTGGGCCAGAAAAGTAAAAAGTAGAGTTTTTGTTTGCTGTGCTGGAGATCAAAGCCAGGGTCTTGTGCATGCTGGGAAAATGTTCTGCCATTGAGCTACACCTACAGACCCACACCATTTTATATTAATTAATTAATCTGTTTCCAGATGTGATCTGACTTATGTTCAAGGCTGGTCTTGAACTCACAATGTAGCTTAGGCTGGCCTTGAACTTGTGGTAGTTCTTCTGCCTCAGTGCCCCAAATGCTGGGATTATATGTGTGAGCCACCATGCCTGGCTCCCATAGCATTTTTAACCCAGAAAACTGTGTGAGCAACAAGTCTGAACACTGAACATTTGGGTGTGACAGTTTCTGGAAGTTGGGAAGATGAGGGAGAACTGGAAGCCAAGTGAGAACAGTGTTTGAAGGAGAGGAAACTGATAAGGCACAGGCTGCTGATAAGGCAGTGAGATTAGGACTGAGAACTGGCCATGACCTGGACAATAGCTATTCCAGTAGCATGGTAGGGATGAAGGCCAGAGCAGACAGGGCTTATGAGAGAGATGGAGGGTAGCTGGAGATTGGTTCATGTGATCGATCTGTCAAAGTATCTGATGGTTAAGAGGAACAGAGAAGCTGGGTGTGGTGGAGCATGTCTGTAATCTCAGCATGGGGGAGGCTGAGGCAGGAAGATCACTGAGAATTCAAAGCCAGCTTGAGCTACATAGCAAGACTTTGTTTCAACAACAACAACAAAAGAGCAGAGAGATATGACAGTTGTGGAGAGGTCTTACTTCATTCAGTAACTGAGTGGTGGGAGAGGATATGGTACAGGCCAGGGAGCCCATGGGGGAAGCTGAGAGGAAGGACTAGAGTGGAGAAGTGACTTGGGAGTTACTGACACATTTTTTCATAAGGACCCTACTGTTACTGAGCTTTTCTACTAGGAAATATGTAAAAAAATGAAGCAGGAAAGATGGTCAGGATGGAGTGGTCAAGGAAGGCCTTACTGAGATGTGACATTTGAGCAAAGACATAGATGTTAAGGTGAGCTGTGAGATCTGCCCCGGAAGAGTGGTCTAAGTAGGGAAGTAGCAGGGTCCAGATCCTGTGGCAGGATCGTGCTTAGTATGTCAGGGTGGCTGGAGCATAGTACAGTGATGGAGAAAGGGAAAAGGTGAGGGCTGAGAGGTGCCGGGCTTGTTGGTGACTTCCAGTCCTGGAGTTAGTGCCAGCTGAGCTAGGAGATATGAGGGGTTTTGACCAGAGGGATGAGGTCTGACTCATAAGTTGTCAGATCCTTGGATCCTTGGGCTGGGGAAGATGGGAAGCCAAGATTGTGCAGGAGATTACAGCTGTCATCTCTGCCAAGGATGGCTGGTCCTCCTGGGGTCCAAGAGTGGGACACTAGTAGAGGAGAGGCCAGGAAAGGAGGCTGGGAAGGTTGGAGGAAGCTAAGGGCAGTGATTTCAGGAAGAGTATATTGAAAGCTACGGAAAGATTGGAGAAGAAATCTAGAAGCAGAAATCTAAACGTAACAAAATGGAAATTTTAAGGAGCCTCCAGGGGAGCAGCTGTGATCATGGAATAGAAAAGGGAGTTGAGGAAATGGTGACAGCAAAGCGCTGAACCTTTTCTACTGGGTGTTACTGAGCAGGAGACTGGGTTCTGTTCCTGGTGGGCGCGGGGCTGTGGGTCTTCTTTGGTGAAGGAAACACCTTCAGGCTGTTGTGGGGGTGCAGCCTGCATGCCCTGGGCACTCGCCCTGAGGTGTGGGAAGCTCACTCATCCACTGGAGATGCATACTGTGTGCTCCCTCAGCATGGTCCCAGCCTGAGGAACGGGGACGGGTGACTCAGGTGCCGCACCAGTTTGGGACCACTGTCACAGTGATGTGCCATTCATCTTGGGCCCACTTTGACCAGAAGACATGTCCCTTCCCACCGAGTTTTTGTTTTCAAGAGGGCCTGAGCCTCTCCACAGAGGATGAGGAGGAGACTGGGGTGCTGTGGGCGGGTCTCTGTTCCAGTTCACCCTACAGCTTGGAAACGCTTTGTTGTTCTGCACCTGGTCTTTTCCACCCTCTCCCTCCCTCTCTCCCTCCTTCTCTTTTTCTCCCTTCCACTCCCTCCCTCTTCCCCTTCTCAGTCTCCCTCTGCCCCTCTCTACCCACTTCTGGTCCTTCTGTTTTTCTCTGGCCTATTGGCCACCAGATGTCGCTCTAACTGCTGGCATCCGCCCCTGGGGTGTTTGGCTAGAGGGAGGTGCTGTTTTTTCTTGGGAATGTGAGTAGCTAGCCTCCTCTTTGAGGCCCTCGGGTCATCCAAGGAAGGTGTTATTAGGGTCCAAACTTCAATGCAAGGCTGAAAGAGAAGCCTGATCTTGGCACAGTGCCTGAGCTGGGGAGGAAAGGGAAAACTTGCAGAAGGTGGGGACTGTGAGACTGGGACTTGGGTTCCAGGAGGGTAGGTTGGAGGGGAGGAAAAGGGTTGGTGCGAAGCTAAGAAAAGTTGTCCTCTGTGGAGAAGGTAGATTCTTTCCTTCCCTTGGAATTGCCCTCTGAAAGGAGAGCCGAGAGTTTTCTGTTTTAGATAATGAGTGGCCTGCCTGTAGATGCTCACAAGTAAGGGCAGTCCTGCGTCCGCACAGCTGAGGCAGCCTCATGGAGTCAGGGATGTTACAGAAATGACACTGGATGTTAATCTTCCCCAAATTGCCCTCAGGTCTGTCATTTCCAAGGGATCTTTGTGAACATTTGTGGGACTTTGTGAGAGTGGACACAAGTGGTTTGAGAAATTTCTTGGGTATTACTGGAAAACTGTACCAAGATTCTCACCCAGGTCTCATCAGAGAGTCCTGGGGAAGGCCGGGGGGTGGAAGGGTCTGGTTTGTGTGGTGTCATGGAGGGAAGGGGAAGGCATGATGCCCCATATGAGCTCTTCCCTGTTTGTGTTCCATTGTCTGGGAGTCGAGGTGGGGGTGGGGGAATCTCTTGTCACAGGTCTCTGGGACCAACAGCGTGGTGCTTACTATAGATGATTTTAGTGGAAATTAATTTGTTCAGAGCTATATGTAGGTCTTGAGATGTGACTTGTGTCCATCCTTTTCCCAGCTGTGAGCTGATCTGTTGGCATCCCCTCACAGGTCTCCTGATGATGGGTTGCAGTCCTGCATTTGCCATGCAGCACATTGTGAGTGTGCCCCACGTACTGGTGCGCAGAGGCCTTCTTGGAAGGGACTTTGTTATAGCCAGGACTCTCTGCAGCCCAGGCCCCAGCCAGCCCGGAGAGAAGCGCCCGGACGAGGCAGTCCTGTATCATCGTCTCCCAGCTCTAGGGAGAGCCCTGGGGCGAAGCCTTCAGCAACGAGCTGCCTCCACAACCAAGACTTGGTGGGACAGATATGAAGAATTTGTGGGGCTCAATGAAGTGCGAGAGGCCCAGGGAAATGTGACTGAGGTGAGAAAAGAGCCTGGGAGATTGGACCTGCCACTGACCTGGGAAATGGGGCTTACTGATCCTTGCCAACAAGTCACCAGCTACATGGTGCTGGTGTCATCCAGATATGCCTGTTCTTAAACAAGCCTCAGTAGTAGAGGAATCTGACTTTACCTCACATGGAAACCTGGGTCTGATACTACTGGTATGAAGGTTTCTATTTAACTGTATCTCTGATAATCTCCTTCAAAATAGTCACTGTATATCAGCAAGTCCCTGACTACTTACACTATTATGGCCAGCAAACACTCCTTTATAGCCTGGGGTTGGGTAGATGAGGGGCTGGTGGTGAGAGTTGCTGCTTTACTGTGTGAAGGTGAAAGATACTGGGAAACATCAGACTGGGAGCTTGAAAGAGTTGCAATGGTTAAGTCCTTTGTGGCAGCAGAAATGCATTCTGTTCACCTCTGCTGTTACACCTGCTTAGGCACAGAAACAGTGCAGTGAGGGAAGAACCTGGGGTTCTGCTGAGGGTTTGAAGTACATTGTTGTCTCTCTCCTTGGACATTGTAAGTTTGGCTGACCTGGGGTTTCCAGGTCTCTAAACCATAGCAAGGCCTTTGATGGTGTTGTGAAGCATAAAGAAGGTGGCACACGGGAAATAGTAGAAGCACATACCTTTTTTCTTGTGGTTTGCATCAGACAAGAGTTGGCTGGGTTTAGTGGACACAGATTGTTTGCATTGTTGGCAGTTTTCAAGTTTCTCAGGGGCATGTTATTTCTGCTTGAATGGACAAATCCAGTGCTCCAGTGGGCGTGGACCAGGGCTGCACTTTGAGCAGTACTGAGTAAGCCAGGATTAGTGTCTAAGGCACTGTTTCTGCTCTTTGCAGCTGACACCCCACTGACCTTTTCTTAGCCACTGCCTTTTTGGCAACAGAGCTGGCCCATGTGGGTATGGACAGAAGGGTCTGACAGCCTCCACTGTCCTCTCGCAGGCAGAGAAAGTGTTCATGGTGGCTCGTGGGCTTGTCCGAGAGGCTCGGGAGGACTTGGAAGTTCAGCAGGCCAAGCTGAAGGAGGTGAGGGACCGCTTGGATCGTGTCTCCAGGGAGGACAACCAATACCTGGAACTGGCTACTCTGGAGCACAGGATGCTGCAGGTAGGCCTATTGGGAGGCAGCCCTCTTCCCCGAATGGGGGCCCTAGCCTGGCCCATTGTGGAGGGCCAGGTTGGAACCCTGAATAGCCTGGTTGTGAGAGGCCTGGTGAGCAGGTAAACTAGAAAGCTCCTGTCTGGCTTCTGCAGCCTTTCCACCCCCTAGATTGACAGTCTGCCACCTGCATTACTGAGAAGGGAGTATCAGTGGAGGGGCTGGCCTAAGTAGCGCTGGACACAGCTCCCCGCAGATGCATTTTCAGGGTGTCATTGCATGCCCAGCCTACCCAAGACTGCCTAGTGGGAAGAAGAAGGTGCTCACTCCACACTCCCGTTCTCTACTCCTGCACCTGACCAGGTGTATGCTGCCTTTATCTGTGGAGCAGATATTGGTGGAGGCAAGGTGAGGGGAAAGGCTTATATGCCGTGGCTGCAGCCACAAAGCCCTTTGCTCTGTGTGACACTGCTTTGCTTCTGCAGGAAGAGAAGAGGCTCCGCATAGCCTACATACGTGCAGAAGACTCTGAGCGTGAGAAGTTCTCTCTCTTCTCTGCAGCTGTGCGGGAGAGCCATGAGAAGGAGCGTGCAAGGGCTGAAAGGACTAAGAACTGGTCCCTCATCGGGTCAGTTCTGGGAGCTCTAATTGGTGTGGCTGGCTCCACCTATGTGAACCGTGTACGGCTACAGGAGCTGAAGGCCTTACTCCTGGAGGCGCAGAAGGGGCCTGTGAGTCTCCAGGAGGCCATCCGTGACCAGGCAGCTAGCTATTCCCTCCAGCAGAGGGACCTCCATGACCTCGTGGTGGACCTGAAGGGGCTGGTGCACACTGGGCAGGGCCAGGGCTCTGGGTCACCAGCAGGTATTTCCACTACCAGAAAGAGAGACATAGATTCCCTTTCATCTGCCTTACAAGAGCAGCTTAGTCATTCCCAGCAGGTCTATTCTTGTCTAGAAGGTTTACGAGAGCAGCTCAATGGTCTGAATAAGACTTGCAGCCAAATGGTTGGGGTGATTCAGCATGCAGAGGCTACAGCACACCTAGGCTTGGAGGAGCCAGGAGATGGGGCTCTGCCCAGCTCCTTGCTGGCACAGGGGAGAATGATCTTGGCCCTATCTGACATGGGACAGAGGTTGGAAGCCCAAGTGAACAGGAACACCATCTACAGCACACTGGTCACTTGTATGACATTTCTGGCTACACTGCCTGTGCTCTACATGCTGTTCAAGGCCAGCTAACCCTTTGGATCTGCCTCCTCGAGGCCTAAGGGATGAAAGTGGCTTTCATTGATGAATCCCAGCAGTGAAGTGACTCTTGGGGTGTATTAGCCTCAGCATCATTCATGTGGGTCATAGCAGGCATACTTTGCTTTGTAGGCAATGCTTATTCATCCTAATTATCCAAACATTGTACTCATGTTTATTAAAATGTCTTAGAGTTTATATTATTTAAAATAAGTTACATGTGACTGAGTTTTGTCCATTAAAAACTGAGAACTGGGGCTGGAGGGTTGGACCTGGAGTGAGGGAAATCATCTCCTTCAGTTCCTCTCTTGCCCTCTCAGTCCTGTTGGGGGCTTGTTTGGATGTGTGAATTTTTGTTTTGAATTTCCTGGCCTGCCCTCTGCTTTCAGGTCTGTCAGATGGCCTGGGAGATCCAGTGAGTGGAACCTAGCTTGCTCTTTGGCTTTCTGTGCCATGAGGTGTGTGTTGGTGAACTTCCTGTTTCTGACACTGGAGAAGTGATCAGAGGAGAGCAGGAAAGAGAGATTAGGGGAATGGTCGATATGTTGCTGAGGACATAAAACAGAGATTGCTAGCCAGTTTGGTCCCTGATGCAGTGTGCTTTGGGCAGCACAGTGCTATTCCCACACACAACCTGGGAGGGACCTCAATAGGTGTGGACAAAGCTTAGGCCACCAGCAGTGTGAATGAAGAAACAGTTAAGTTTGGGGTGGGGGATGCAATCAGGCATGGAGAGGAACTGCCCTGAGAACCCTGAACTCTCTCTTGTCATAGTGGAACAGTAACCCTTGCCCTCTCTGTCCCAATGGTGTGGGTGGCCTTAAGTGAACAGGAGCTAGGCAGTGGTACTTTGTCCTTACTTTGGAGGTCTGGCACACAGCAGAGAGCCCACTATTGCCCTCCCTGGGTATACTACAGCTTCGTTAAAAGTATGTGTGTGGGGGGCCTATTGATCTGTGCCTTCACAGAAGCTCATACAGCCAAAGTATTTTCTATAAGCGTGTTCCCCTCTTGTAGCCTGAGCTCAGTCCTAAGCTGCAAGTGTGGCCTACATGGCCCCCTGAGCACACAGGCCCTTCATCACTCCATATTTGACACGTGGTGGTTCCCAACAATGACATGGGATGGAACAACTGCATTTAAGAATGTTTATACCCATGGGATTGGGGAGGGTTATAGGGGGAATCCAAGTTCCCCTCTAAAGAGAGGTAAGGTTCCAAAGGGTGTGCACATGGGCGGACTTGGGGAAGGGAGAATTCCAGGCGTACAAAAGGGGCTCCCACAAGTGGCACAGGCAGGAAAGCCAAAGGGCTGAGGGAATTGGAGGCAGACTACCCTGGCTGAGGTGCAGATGGGTGTGTGCAGGGGTGTGGAGTATGAGGTTAGAGAATATGTTAGAAGAGCTGCAGTGCCAGTTTGGCAGTCTCTGAGGTTGGAGGCTGGGGGTGAGGGAACGGGGAGGGGTTGTCATGCTGATGCCAACAAGATGCTAGTTGCCTAGACTTAAGTGCTAGAGGTATGGCTGGGGAAGGAGGAATTTGAAAATCAGACAAATGGAGAGCCATGAGGGGTTAGGAAGAGGGGTCTGTGGCGTTAGCCTAGGACAGTGGCCAGTGTGGAAGACTGGCCCCTTCAGCCTTGGGAGGTCCTGGATACTCGGGGGTGGGGGTGGGGGTGGTAGTGTGTGTGTGTGTGTGTGTTACTTCTTTTGTCTCTCTGGAATCTGTGCCAATGGCCTTGAGCCAAAATCTTCCAAAAGTCCTCAGGATGGACTAGTTCCAGAGTCAGGCCAGATAGGCTCCAGGAGAGAGCCCTTGCGTCCAGTTTCCTTCTCAGGAAGGCTCAGGAGTTTGCCGTTGAGGAAGTCTAGACTTGCTCACAGATTCTCAGCTAGGGGTGAATCCCGGTGCAGGTCCGGGACTAGAGGCAGGAAATGAGCCCTCGCTGTTGCATCTCGGCAGCCTGGTTAAGGGTGGTATCACCCCACCTGCCAGAGAGCAAACAGGACGGGAAAGGGGAGTGTCGGGTTACACGGCTTCGGAATGGCGCACACCCAGGTCCCAAGCTTAGCCCTCCTCAGACAGCCAGGGGTGGGGGCCGGAAGGAGAGGCTGCTGTTGGGGAGTCCTAGGAAAAGGCGCGGTGGGCAGGGCCAGGTGCGGAGAAGAGAGGACGGGCGCCGGGGAGTTCAGGTACAGTGGTGGGACAGTCATTCTGAGAGCCGGGCACTGCGGGAGGGAGGGAGGGCGCACACCCAGGTCCCAAGCTTAGCCCTCCTCAGACAGCCAGGGGTGGGGGCCGGAAGGAGAGGCTGCTGTTGGGGAGTCCTAGGAAAAGGCGCGGTGGGCAGGGCCAGGTGCGGAGAAGAGAGGACGGGCGCCGGGGAGTTCAGGTACAGTGGTGGGACAGTCATTCTGAGAGCCGGGCACTGCGGGAGGGAGGGAGGGGGCGCCCAGGG